CAAAGTTGATACCTTTCTTCAACAAATCAGTAAGGGGAGCTACCACTTCTGTAAAATTAAAATAAACATACGATAGTAACCTATCATACCTAAGTATCTTTGTAATTCTTTCCTATTCTGAGGTCTGGGACACCGACATATAGATTCAACTTTAGCCAGTGGTGGGGCTACTGATCCCTGTCCAATTACATACCCAAGATACTGTACTTGGGCTTTAACAAATTCACATTTTTCGAGGTTTACAACAAGATTAGCACTGGAGAATCTATTCAAGAGTTCTCCAACTTCAGAGATATGTTCTTCCCAAGAATCACTGTAGACAACCACATCATCTATATAAGTTACACAGCCTTTGATTCCTGCAGTAATAGTGTTCATCAATCTCTGAAAAGTGGCAGGAGCATTTTTCATACCATAGGGCATCACTTTACACTTATAAGTTTGACCCAAAGTAACAAAACATGAAATGTCCTGAGCTCGTCAGTCAAAGGAACTTGCCAATATCCCTTTAGTAGATCAAACTTGCTAATGTAATTAGAACTTCCCACTTTGTCGATGCACTCATCCACCCTTGGTAACGGATATGTGTCTGTCTTAGTCAGAGCATTGACTTTCCTAAAATCAATACAAAATCGATATCCCCCATCAGACTTGGGCACTAGAGTCACAGGTGAACACCACTCACTTTGGCAAGCTTCAATTAGTCCATGTTCTAACATATAATTCAATTCTTGTTGAAGAGGGGCAAGACGATTTGGATTTACACGGTAAGGCGCCTGCTTCACTGGTGCAGCATCCCCCACATTCACATCATGCACTGCTAATGTTGTAAGTCCTGGTGAGTCCCGGAATACATCCTGATACCGAGACAAGAGTGAGACAAATTCTTCTCTCCGCTCTGCTGTTAGATGGGTGAGCTTATCTGATACCTTGGTCCAGGCGTTAGTGTTCTTCTCCCATGTCCCAGTCATCTCCAATGTTGGCGGGCAAGCATTATCTTCATCTTCTGTGGGTGTTAGAGCTACTGCACACACTGGAGCATCTGGTGAATCCCTCTGGTAGTATGGTTTTAACATATTTATGTGACATAGTCGACTGGATTTTCTCCTATCTGGGGTGGAAACAACATAATTAACATCACTCAGCTTCTGCTTTACCAAATATGGACCACTAAATTTTGCCTGTAAGGGTTGACCATGTATGGGAAGCAGAACCAACACCTGATCACCTGGCTGGAACACCCTCATTCTCGCTTTCTTATCGTACCATTTCTTCATTTTCTTTTGGGAAGAAACCAAGTTATCTCTAGCAATTTTCCAACTACGGTTCAGCTTCTCTTTAAAGTCACTAACATAAGATAAAAGTCCTACATTCTCATCCATACCAAGCCACTCTTCTTTTAATAATTTTAATGGTCCTCTCACCTCGTGGTGAACATTAACTCAAATGGAGAAAACCCCAAGGATTCATTTGGTGTTTCTCTAGTAGCAAAAAGCAAGAAAGGCAAGCCTTTATCCCAATCCTTGTGACTTTCTGTACAAAATTTTGTAATCATACTTTTAAGAGTTTGATGATAACGTTCTATGGCACCTTGACTCTGAGGATGGTAAGCAGTGGAAGTGATCTGCTCAATACCTAGTTCCCGGAGGGACTGTCTGAAAACTTTGGACATAAAATTTGATCCCTGGTCAGACTGCACTTCTTTAGGTAAGCCAAACCTTGTGAAGAACTGTAATAACTCTCTTACTACTATTTTAGCTGAGGTATTTTTGAGAGGAACAGCCTCAGGATATCTAGTAGCCATATCCATGATAGTAAGAATATAAGAATATCCTGTTGCAGTTTTAGGTAAAGGGCCAACAATATCAATAACCACTCTGGAGAATGGAGCATCAAAGGGGGAATGGGTATTAATGGAGCAATATCAGGAGGTTGATTAGGCTTACCGACCATTTGGCATGTGTGGCATGTCCTGCAATAACGGGAAACATCTTTGCGAATTGTAGGCCAATAAAAGTTACGCCAAATCCGGTCTAAGGTCTTTCTTACCCCAAAATGTCCTGCCAAAGTAGAATCATGAGCAAGTTTCATTATATCATACCTATAAACATTTGGAACTACTACCTGGTGTACTGTCACCCACTCACTGTCAGTTGCTGGGGACGAATGGGGTCTCCACTTACGCATTAATACACCCCTTTCAAATAGTAACAAACTGACAGTTCATCACACTCATTTTCAGCCACAGCAGCTTCAGCTAAGTCTTGCAACTCAGGGTCAGCTTGCTGCAATTCAATTAATCCTTTAGACATATCAGTTTGATTAACTAGTGCTACTCTATCTACAGAGTCAATGGTGGCAAAAAAGGTATCAGCCAAGTTAACAGCATCAGTATCAGTAGTAGTGACAGGATTGATTACATTCCCAGTCTGAGGTACTTTAATATTGGTTGACATGGACCTTTACAGCACAGGCAGGGAACACATGGGTACTTCCTCAACTAATTGCTTAGTTCTTCCACAGCTACAGGTTTCTCAGATAATAACGGGACAGGGTTCACCTTCTTGCCCGCTATATCATTTCCCAACAGGAAATGAACACCATGCATAGGCAATTGATCCACCAGGCCTACACACACAAAACCCTCAAAGAATTCACACTCAAGGTACACTCTCACAGGGGTAACAGAGATGGATCCTCCAACTCCATGAACAACTATTTTCTCTGGGCTTTCAAAATCAACCAAACCTTTTAACATGAGAGATTTTAAAGCGCCAGTATCCCGTAAAATCTGAACAGATTTCTTTTCCCCACCCTCAAGTGAGACAGTACCTTCATGCATAAAACTATCATACGATCCAGTGAAAGCCCCATCACCACTGTTTACATCCAACTTTCTTAAAGAAGCTTTATTTTCATTTCTGGGGAAAACAGTTACAGGTGAAAACTTTTTGGATAAACTTACTTTAGTGGAAACCAAGGCTACTGATTTAGCCTTAATTCTCGTGACTTCTTCCAACACTCTCTCTCCCAATGGCCAGTCTTCCCACAGTAATTACAAATCTTACATTTCTTCCCTTGTACAAAATCATGTGGCTTGGACATCTTTCCATGGTCCACACATCATCTGGAAGAGCAAACTTACAGTGAGAAGCTGCTACAACATCTCTCTTATTCTGAAAACCCGGAAATTTATTAGTATAGGTCTTATGTGTCAATACATACTCATCAGCCATAATGGCAGCAACAGCTATATTATCTACACCTCGTTCAGATAAGTATAGAGAAACTTCTTTAGGAACACATCTGGCAAATTCCTCTAATAACATTAGTTCCTTTAATTTAACAAAGTCTGACTTTACCTCTTTTGAACGAAGCCACTGATTAAACAAATCATCTTTAACTCTGGCAAATTCTACATAAGTCTGGTCAGCTAGTTTGAAAGTGTTTCTATATTTGAGCCTATATGCCTCTGGCACAAGTTCATACGACTTCAGAATAGTATTTTTCACAACATCATAATCTACACATTGAATGTTTGATAAAGATGCATACACACTTTGAGCCTTACCCTTCAAAACACTTTGCAACAATATTGGCCAATACTCTTTGGGCCAACATAAACTCTGTGCAACCTTTTCAAACATCACAAAGTACTTGGTGACATCCCGCTCACAAAAAGGTGGAACAAGTCTTACCTGTCTTGCCACATCAAAGGAATGAATAGAGACAGGATTGCTCTCCAGCTGTTTTATTCTAAACTCATGATTTAGCTTCATCTCTTCCCGGCGCAAATCAAGTTTGGCCTGCTCCAGACGGATCTTTTCTAATTCTAAGAGCACACAAGGGTCTTTAAGATTGCTTGAGCCTTCACTTGTAACTTCATGTGAAGCTGAAAAGTCATGAACACGGTCAATTTCTTCAGGGAAATTCCCTGAAAAAGGATCCTCTATACCAAACAATTTCCTGTTAATCATGTTAACTAATGGGAATCTATTTACATCTGAAGGAAACTCCAGTTCAAGAAATTTAGCAACTAATTTTAGTTCATGGTTCCCTAATGATTCAACTTTATCAACAGATGGTTCTGATGAAAGAAAATTCTTGACATCCTCTTCACTAATGATAGATGCCATGTTTACAAAGACGGGTAGAGATAACTGGCATAAATGATGCAGTTTCTTAATACATTACACGGCACCTGGATCCTGGCAAGGTCGCCAATTTCCTAATACA